TATATATGAAATACATTTACCTGACATCCTTTTGATAAGACATAAAATGTATTCATATTAAATAACTTTATAAGTATTATTTACATAGTTGATAAAATATCCACATAGTATCTTATGCTCATTTGCATCAGTAAATTAGCATGCCGTATTAGTAAATTATTGCATATTTCAGTCGATTAATACAGTCAAAAGTCATTAATCCGGACTCGTCGGGACTTCGGCGATTCTGCATTATCGATTTTTCTGGATTATAGATCATCACTTTAAATCTGGTAAGATGGCATGCTGAAATTATAAAATTAAAAATATGAAACCGTAATTTATGAAATAAAGAACAATTATGATCTAAGGTTATCAAAATTTACAAAAAAAAAAAAAAAAAAGCTTAATATTTATTTTACTTTATTAAACATTTCTTTCAAAGTAAGTTGTTTAAGTTGCTTCGTTTTATGTGTTTATACTTTCTCCTTAATTCTATAAACAGACATAATTTCTTCTTCAGTTACAAAGTTCAAGTCCTATAATTGCTGTGTCAAGAATACCGACTAATTTGTCAATCGAAATTTTTTGTTTTCAATAACCTCTGTGTCACTTTCTTTACTATCGGAAGCGAATTATAATGACGAGGAATTTGATTTAAATCTTATCAAAGACGGAGTACATCGAGATGAAATACTACATTTAGTAAGGAATTATAAGCCAAATAAAATAAAAACATCTGCCCTGAAGATAAGGATAGTGCTGACAGATCAACTTCGAATTCATTGCGTCCCGCGGCGTTAGATAAACAAAAGATATGTCTGTATCCATTTTTTGCAGCGGCTGATCTTTAGAATATGGTAACTGGTTGTTTGGCAACATTTTGGAGGCGATAAAGGTTACCACCTGGGACTTTGGTAATAATGTGAGCAGTACTCAGGTCCGATTACGCATTATTTTGTGTGAGGGAAATGAGAGATCATGGGATTGTCATGTGATATTAATGACGAATTACGGTTTTTTTTTTTTTTTTTTTTTTTTTTTTTTGTTTTTTTTTTTTTTTTTTTTTTTTTTTTTTTTTTTTTTTCTTTTTTTTTTGGTTTTGTTTTTTTTTTTTTTTTTTTTTTTTTTGTTTTTTTTTTTTTTTTTTTTTTTTTTTTTTCTTTTTTTTTTTTTTTTTTTTTTTATTTTTTTTTTTTTTTTTTGTTTTTTTTTGGGTTTTTTTGGAAAATATCTGTGGCTGTATATTTTTTGTATTAAGCTTCATTGTGTGTTGTGTGAAGTAGGGTTGAATAATTTTGGGATTGTATGACGCTGTCTAAAGTGAATTCTAGATGTGATAAAGAGAATTTTGCTTTTTATTTAGTGGAGGAAGTGTGGAGGAAAAATTCACAGAAAAAATCGCATAATAATTTTACTGAATCCATAATAAAAGTGTATCCACCAGGTAAGCACGATTCTGAAGAAGATTAGGTAAGTTAGTGTTTTTAATTATTTGAGGATATTATTTTTATGCATTGTTCTAAATGTAAGGTGGAGTGTATTTAATTATGGCAAAGCACACTAGGGCTATCTGCCTGAGGGGAGGGATGCCTTTTGTGGAGGACTTTTTAAGGGAAACTGGCTCGTATACACGTTACACATGGGGAAAACCACGAAAACGCCCGTGCAGCCAGCCCGTTCGCGGGATTCGAACCTCGGACCGAACTACCAGTGTTCAGCGTCTTTACCGCTCGGCCGCTGGTGGGCTAAATGTAAGGTGGAAGTAAAGTAATTTGGTATTATTGGGAAAATTGTTATTAGCAATGATTTAGTTTAAAGTAATTAGGATTGGATTGTAAGCTAATTTTTATTAATTTAATGTATGTGCTTATTTAAGTAGTGTTTTTGTATTTAACTATATTTTAATTAAATGATAGTTATTTTGTGAATTTTATGTTTGTAGGAAATTTGGTATATGTTTTAGTTGAAGTAAACGTGCATGGAAATAATTTAAATATTTGACACTAAGTATTTGTAATGTTTGCGGTATGAATTTGTTGGGTGACGTTTATAATATAATAGATAATTTAGAGGTAAAAGTTTTTGGATATTTTATTATTTTTTATACGTGGAAATGTTCATATTTGGAAAGGGTATAATACTTTTTCGTTATTAGGTAAATTTCATATATGTTCTTTTTAAATGGGTTTAAAAGATTCAGAAAATTGTCATGCATTTTTCGTGAAATTTTTCTAATTTATGAGAAAAAGCAGTGTACATGGATATGGTGAAGAGTGTGCGCAATGCCATTTTTGTGCAATTCTGGGATTTTTTTTTTTAAAGTAAAAATAAGCCGACGTGTACATGGTTTAGTGATATTTTAATTAAATGATAGTTATTTTGTGAATTTTATTTTTGTAGGAATTTGGTATACGTTTTAGTTGAAGTAAACATGTATGGAAATAATTTAAATATTTGACACTAAATATTTGTAATGCTTGCGGTATGAATTTGTTGGTGACGTTTATAATATAATAGATAATTTAGAGGTAAAAGTTCATCTTTGGAAAGGGTATATACTTTTTCGCGATCAGGTAATTACATATATGTTCTTTTTACCGGGTTTAAAGATTCAGAAAATTGTCATGTATTTTCGTGAAATTTTTCTAATTTATGAGAAAAAAGCAGTGTACATGGATATAGTGAAGAGTGTGCGCAATGCCATTTTTGTGTAATTCTGGGATGTTTTTTTAAGTAAAAATAAGTCGACGTGTACATGGTTTATGTGTATGTGTTATTTTGAAAAACGCATAAGGAGTATGGTATTGTGCACTTTTTCCTTTTTCCCAATTTTGCAGTGAATATTTGTCATGATTAAGCAGTTTTGTTAAATAAAAATTTCTAGCATAAGTGTAATTCGGCTAGTAGATTGTTGGAAGAATGTTCAGTAGATAAAAGGAAAAACATGTCTTTACTTCCTGAAGACAAAATGGCGGCGGGGAAAAAAAAATAGAGGGTTGCTGTAGGAGAGTTGGTCGCCAATTTTCGCCAAAAAATTGCCAAGTTACCATAATCTAAAGATCAACCTTTGCAGCAATTCCACTTTTTGTTTAATGGACTTCGAAACAAACTAGATCCTTTACATATTAGTAAATACATATCGGAAATTCTATTTGACATAATCGAAAGTTCAAGCTTACTTTTATAAAATTGCTCTAACAGTCTGCAAAAAATAATAAGGCGGATCGAATTCGAAGATTAAGGAACAACGCAATCTGCAACATTAACTGAATTAGATAATTTTAGCTTAGCTTACACGATCCGTTATGCATTAAACGCGCATTTGTAAACGTATTACGCGAATGCGCACACGCATATTCGCAGCTGTAAAGGTCTTACGCGCATGTGTCATCTGGACGCATGCGCAGAAAGTTTGTAGCTTTGAGGTCCGGATTATAGATCATTCCGGATTATGGGTGTCCGAATTAACGACTTTTGACTGTATAACACAATAGTCAGAATCCAGGTTCAGATAAGAAGCACACTATACAGACACATATATAAAACAGAACAAAGTACAACAGCTACTAAAATAAAAGGCTATCTACTATGAGTAAAGCAAAAACAAGCAGCATGAATCATGAACTTGAAAATCAATCCTGAGACAAACTGCAAATTAAAACAAAAACAAAATAAATAACAAAAGATAAGGTATTTGTAAAAATGCAGCCAAAAGAATTATCAACACAGCCATGCTTCCTAATTATATCTGAATGAATTACAACAAAGGAAAAAGTAAACAATTGAAGTTAAAATTTTGAAAATTTTCATTTAATATTAGCATAAAAGTGAAACAAATTTCAAATATTCATCAAGATACATTTTGCTCAGATGGAATTGATAGAAAGCATGTATTATATGTTTCAGAATTAATTACAGTTTATAAATACACAGGTAAGCAGACAAAAACATCAATATCAAATCAAAGTGAAGATTTTTCTTCAAAAAAATTTTTATTCAATAAAAATTTTTAGGAAAAACGAGGAAACATGGAATGCCAAAGAGAATATTTTATAACATAGCACACTAGTTCAACCTCTTCAATATTCAATATATCTCACTTTAAATTTATTTCTCGTAAAAAAATCCTTATTCAATACAAAAATTTCTCAAAAAAAAATCTTACCTTTGATTCAAAATTGACTCTTACTGACATTTATATCTTCTTATTTTTGTATTTATAAGTTGTCATTACATGAGAATATAAAACATAGGGAAAGTGCAGAATCGCCCACTGCTTGGCATGTTTTTAAGAATTGCATATACTCGGTATCCATGTACACGTCGACCTATTTTCACTTAAAAAAACATCCCAGAATTGCACAAAAATGGGCACTGCGCACACTCTTGACTTTATCCATGTACACATCGACTTATTTTCACTTGAAAAGTCAAAGAAAATTGACAAAAATCCAATTCTTCTTTTGTAAAAAGCGCCAAACAAATAAGTGAGCAATTCTGCACTTTAGCCTAAAACACTTATTTCAAGTTACCACCAAAGCAAACTGTAATTCAATGAATGCTTTAAAATAATTTAATTTATACTCATATTTCATTTTTAAAAAATTAATTATTTTCAATCGCTATGTTTACCTTTCCTTTCTTGCAATTCCAGACATAATTCAGAAACACAGCTGTGCATATAAATTAAATTTCTTGCTTGTTTCTTGACAAATACTATGAATTGTCATCTTTTATTGTTTTGTTTTAATTTGCATCTTTTTCAGGACTCATTTCCAGGTTTATGTTTGCTGTTGGATGATATTTGCTTTATTCATATTAGATTCCTACTTTTGATAAATTCATATCCTATCTTTTCAGAGAAATTTGGCAGCATTTTGCATGTTATTAATATTTTTAATTAAATATTTTACAACTATTGATCTTTTTCTCTCTATACATATATACACACATATGCACAATTTTGTATTTATAATAATGTTTAAATTCACTTGTTTAAGCAAGGGAGGAAAACACACCTTCTCATCCCATATGGCCATATTTGGAAACATTTCCTTCATCGCAAAGTCTTGTGCAATATTTTGAATCTGTACTTGCTGCTCAGAAAGTCCCAAACAGGCTAAAACATCATCAACACAAACTCATTAAATGCTACTTAGTTAAAAGCTGAACATTTACCACTGCAAATTATAATAAGACTTCAAAACTTACGATCCAGAAATGTTGCAATACGACGAGACCATAAGAAACTGGAAAAAAAGTTTGGAATTTTTCTGGTAATCGCTGCAGAAAACATTGCTCTTATATCATGTATATTACAATTCCTTACACACAGACAAGATCAAAATGTCATCGAACAAATTTAGATATTATCGCTATAAAACTAAAAAAAAATATTTTAACAAAAAAAAAATCTGAAACAGATCACACGAATTCTTAGCATAAACTAGGTCTAATAAATTTTAAAAAAATCAGATCAAAGAGCGAAAAAAAACAAACAGCAAATTCCCACAATATCTAACAATCTAGAATGTAAACAATTTCGCGGCAAACCAACACGTTATTTAACACGTTAAACACTACCCGAAACTGGAAAAAGTCAACCAATCAGAAGGCACCGTTGTACTAGGGATTTATTAGGCTTCAATTTGTGCATATAAGACTGTGCTTGAACTTTATGGTAACATTAGACGCACATATTGGGTAAAAGTGGTTCATCTCGCTTTCGATATGATTTTGTGGCACACTAATATGACTGTGAGGCAAAATTTTCAGCAGCTTGTTTGTAATCTGGCCGCTTCCTGGAGCTTCCTCGGTCTTAGAGAGCTTAATAATTTCTGAAATTCCCCTTGGAGTCTTGAGCTTGAGAAATATTTTGCGGCGAAAGAGAATTTACCTAATTGTTTACGAAATCATGAATGTCGGCTACGGAGTTCGCATCTGGAGTTTGATTTGGTTTGAGTTGGTTTAGTTACGACAAAGCCCACAAGGGCTATCTGCCTAAGCGGAGGAATACATTCGAATAGGTCTTTCTATAAGAGAAACTGGCTCGTATAAAAGTAATACATAGGGAAAACCAAAAAATCACCCAAGTAGCCGGCCCGTTTGTCTGAAATCGAACCAAGGTAGGAACTACCAGCATGCAGCGATTTTTATCGCTCGGCCGCTCGTGGGGCTTGGACCTTAGGGTAAATCATTTGGTGTGAATTGACTGGTCAAGTGACTTGAAAAAGTGTTTGCATTATAAGGTGAATCCATCTGCTCCCTGATTATATTTTTGATATTTGTGGCATTTTTGAGTTTTTTGACACAGCTCCAGAAAGAATCGTCTTCTAAATATAGATTATCGATTTTATTACTTAAGATTTCTGTACAGTGGGCTTGAATTTCACTTTTAATTTTCCTGGTGAGACAACTAGATTCCTGGTCAAGCCCATAAGAACAGAACTAAAGGCCCACCAACCTTAGATGGGTAGGGGACTTCTTCATTTTAAGAATGATTAACTGGAAGACCATGCCCAAGAAAAGAGAGGCCTGGAAGAAAATTCTTGAGAAGGCCAGGGCAAATCCCGAGCGGTCGTGCCACTGAGGAAGGAAGGAAGGTTAGACTATTAGCTTCTGTTTTAAGTGATAGAGTCCATTCACGATTGATGATCTTCCTCGGTCTATTCCTCTGCCCAGTAATGGATCTGCTGTGAACTGAGAATTGGATATGAGTGTAGGAATCCATGCTCTCTGTGGTCGCTCGAAGGAAAAAAATCCTGAATATTTGGGGAGAAATTTCACTTGTTTACAGTTCCAGCCAGAACAGAGACACGATCTGAAGAACATTCTGGAGAAAGAGAGATAAAGGTTTGCCAGGAAAATGTCCAAGATATGTGGTCGTCTGTTAAGAATACTTGGACGGTAAGTAGGCTTTTCTCGATGAAAATCGGATAATTTTCCACGTATCGGTCGATCACGTGACTGTCTACATTTGAGTGGTTGCAACCTCAGTTGACGTGTTTAGAGTTTAGATCATCACCGATGATCGTCGTTATTAGATAATGGTACAGAGCTTCCTCAGTCAGTGCATTATCAGGCAGGTTACATATGGAACAAAAATATGGTGTTACTAATTTTTGGTATTCACACATTTATGCACACTGCTTCGAATCCTTTAAAATTAACGGTCGAGAATGAGTCAATGACCGCTCCCTCACCTCGGTGTCTGAGCCGGTCACAGGAATAAGAGACGTAATTTACAGTTTTTAGATTATAGCTTGGAACTGCATGGTGTAAAGAACGCTCCTGAACTCTACTAGAAAGACCTATGATGCTCTTGACTACAGAGAACGTCGTTAGCAAACTCCTCACACTACGAGTACTATAATTCATTTTAACACCTTATTTAAAGAACTGTGAATGGCAACGACTTAACTGAGAATTACGCATGCGTATAGAGATGAGAGTTCTGTTGAGACGCCTGTGAGAGAAGAGAGAGTTTGGGAAGCTCCGCCAGCGAGCTGAGGTGTGGAGACTAAATTTGTCCAGTGATGACGAGTGCTATCTTCGTTAACGTCTCTGATCGTGTCACCAACTCGGATATGTACTCAAGTTTTTCTAAATGTATTAATTAAATGTTGTATCTGTGTTATGTTGTGTAATTAAAGTTATGCATAACCAATACCAGTGTTGATTCCGTTCCCACGGAAGCATCCACGACGTCACAATGGTTCTTTCTCTGTGATAAAGCAAATATCTATATCGTGCTGATGCAGAAAATGATGAAACTCATGTATTTGGTTGTTAAGTTCTGTGTATTACGAAGCACTTTGGAAACTGATGTATGATCACATGGTGGGGCTTCGGCGATATGCCTGAATTCTGTGTAACAACACAATGTACCTGCGTATTTGCATCCTTCAGCGTAGAAATTGCAGCTGTAAGCTGCGCAATCACAGTCTTAGCCTCTTCTAGCTTGGATATGAGTTCCGCAATTTCAGGTGATTTCTATCCCGCTGTGGACTGGGCACTATTCAGATCTCTCGTTCCGAGTGAAATTTATTCCCATATGAGGATTGTCGTGAATTTGGATAGAAAATACAACAACGAAACGAAAAGGTGTGTCCTTGAACGCAGCTAACACAAGTAGCTGGTTCCGCTGGCAATTTGGTACAGTACAGAGATTCTCGACCCTAGCCGCACTTAATAGATTTCGGTACCAAGTGGCACGGGGCTTAGGCATAGTAAAAGTTCTGGCATCTGCAACACTGTAACCGCGCGTCGGCATCTGCAACTGTCCACTCTAATTGGTAGAAAATCAAAAGCAATAATTTTTCGCAAAGGCCAAACAAATTTCCTTCCACCTAGACCTCTTCTGTTTGATGAGGAAATTGACTGGGTTGACGAAGTTAAATACCTAGGAGTCATTCTTGATAAAAAAAATTGACTTTTCAGAAACATCTCAGGGAAACTGTGAAAAAAATAATTCGCGCTTGCAACTATGTGCCCACTTCTTGGCAGAAAAAGTCATATGTCCACTTCTAATAAACTCCTCTTATATAAATCTATATTTCGACCAGCATTACCCTATGCTAGTCCTGTCTGGGGCCCCGCTGCCAAAACTCACCTTCAACACATCCAAGTTCTTCAAAACAAAGCACTCAGAGAGAATATCAACGCCCCATGGTCCATTCCAAATTCGTATATCCACCGTGATCTCAAAGTAGATACAATTCAAGATTATATTCAAAAACTTGTCAGAAATTTCTTCTATTCAGTTCTCACTCCTCCTAACAACTGCATCAACTCTCTTAGATGTTCTCCATTTCCCAGAGAAAAGCACAAATATCCATCTTACATTCTCCATCCTTAACATTTTTTACTTATACTAGATTCTTCAGTTCACTGATTTAGACCTTCGACCAGATACTCACCTTTTTCGTCGACTGATGGAGGCCACCTGACTTTTACTTTAGTCTTTTTGTTTTACTAATGTTCTTCACGTGATACAGAGTAAAAGGAGGCGCTGCTTTCTGAAACTCAAATTCAGTAGTACTCAGTCTAACTGGTAGGCCCAGCAGATAATCAAGGCTGTGAATAGTCCTGGATTTATCTCCCCTCGGAGGCATAACAAGGTATAGCGGCATCTTTTGGATGTCCATGTCTACTCCTAAGCTACACTGCTCTGTTAACTGAGTGGCCAAATTCAGTAAGGGCTTCTGCAGCCTCAGTAGGATCTGTATAAGAACAGATACCTCTGGTTACAACTTTGACGTCTGTTAATATGGGAAAATATACTTCACGTCATAATCAATCAAAAGAGCTGTGACCTAGGTATGCAAATCACTGAGAAAAACCTTAATTTTAATATCAAAGCAATCAGTGCTTTCAACTAGCTAATATTTGCTTTTCCCAGTGAGCATTTAATTGTTTCCTGGTGAGACCAGGCTCTTAAACGAAAATCGGAGGGATTTTAAGTACTTGCCATACTAAAACCCGGCATCACATGAATTATGACCCGAATTATCACTGGAATTGCCTACAGTGGCAATTGCTCTAATCAGAGATTCATTAGCATCATATTTCATTGTCCCAGCCGTGCTCTGTTCACATCTATGTTGATATTGGCCGAGCTACATTTTCCGATAAAGATGTTTTCGCGCTTTCTGGCTTCTTGGCAGATTAAATAGGTGACGCCACACTATAGACAGCAATCTCGCAAGATTGAAAGGTTTTCTAGACTGAAGCTGTTTCGAATTGTTCGATCGTCTACAGTTAGAAAGGAATGCTCAGCTTTGGTTTCCAGCTCCACGAACCGTTCCATAATTTGTTCAATAATATGGCAGTCGGCGCCAAAGTTAAAAAGTCCTATCCAAATAGGTCAGTAACTCAAGAAAGAATGAGTAAAATGCACGAAGAAATTGCGAAAGCACAAGAAAATGCAGAGAAAATCTGCAGTTAAGTAATCCAGTATGTTTGTATTAAACAAAAAGACGTTTTATGGTACAGTCGGTCACAAAAGTATTCGAACACCGGTACCCTATCAGAAAATGACAAGAGGGCGTTTTTTTTCTCTCTTTCTCTCTGTGTGTCGTGTTATTCCATCCTAGGTTTTCTTCTCCCCCCCATCTTGGAAAAACTGGAAAAAATTGGTTACGATCTCTTTTTGAATGGGGAGATGCCATTTTGAGAAAAAGCTGACGACCCTATCTTGGAGAATGAACATGACCGCTCTACACACCCTTTTCTCTCTCTCTCTCTCTCTCTTTGAATTGGGAAGCCATTTTGGGAAAAAGCAGACGACCCTATCTTGGAGAATGGAAATGAACGCCTCTCCCTCTCTCTTTGAAATGGGAAAGCCATTTTGGGACCCTCTATTCTTGGGGAGGGAGAAAACTGAAGTCTGCACTTCGCTGTCTCTGAATGCGGAAAGCCATTTTGGGAAAAGCGGACCCTCTTCTTCTGATCTTGGAGAACTGGAAATGAACGCTCTACACGATCTCTCTTTGAATTCAGAAGGTATTTTGGGACCTTCTAATGTTGGAAAACTGAAATGAACGCTCTACGCATTCTCTCTCTCTCTCTCTCTTTGAGATGAGTAGCCATTTTGGAGGATTCTCCACCACCATCCTAACCTTGGAAAACTGAAATGAACGCTCTACACACCTCTCTCTCTCTCTCTCTCTCTCTCTTTCTCTGAAATGGGTAGTCATTTGAAAACTCCCTAACTTTGGAAAAAAACAGAAATGAACGCTCTACACCATCTCTCTTTGAAAATGGGGGGTGTCATTTTGAGACCTCCCTCCCCTAAA